TAGGGTGGTGTGTGTGTGTGTGTGTGTGTGTGTGTGTGTGTGTGTGTGTGTGTGTGTGTAGAGATTGATTGATTGATTGATTGATTGATTATAAGGAATTGGCTACGTGATTATGGAGGCTGGCAAGTCCCAAGATCTGCAGGGTAAGTGTCAAGTTGGAGACCCAGGGAACTGATAATTTAGTTTCAGTCCAAGCCCAAAGGTCTGAGAACCAGGAGAACTGATGGTGTAGAGTCCAAAGGCTGGCAGGCTTGACACCTAGAAAGGGCCGATGTTTCCTTCTGAGTCTCAAGGCAGGAAAAAAACTGATGTCCCAGCTCAAAGGCAGGAAGAGCTGGTTTTCTCCTACTCTGGAGAGAATTCACCTTTTTGTTCTATTTGCACCTTCAATGATTGACCGAGGTTCACCTACTTCAGGGAGTGCAGTCTGCTTTCCTTAGTCTACCGATTTGAATAATAATCTCATCCCAAAATACCTAGAATGATGTTTGACCAAATACCTGGGTACCCCGTGGTCCAGTCAAACTAACACATAAAATTAGCCATCACAGCAACTCCTAAAGATAGTTTTTTATCCTTCTTCCTGTTTGAGCCATAATTCCCATAGGGCCGGTACACTTGAGTTCACTAAACGGAGAGAAGGTAAAGAGGGTAATCAGAAATAGGAGACGCTGATAACGCTTTGAGAAAAGATCTCTAGTTTGCCAGATGGGAGGAGGTGTGGGGGGCTGAGTGAAAAAAGGTAAAGTGTTTAAGAAGTACAAATTTGTAGTTACAAAATAGTCATGAGGACGTAAAGTACAGCATAGGGAATATAGTTAATAGTGCCAGGCGGGGACTAGACGAATCAAGGGGGGTTCGCATCATAAATTATATAAATGTGTAACCACTATGCTGTATGCTTGAAATTAATATAAAATAATATTGAATGTCAATTGTAATTGGAAAAAAAGGTCCTCTGGCTAAGCAGAATGCAGTATACAATGATGCTTTTGTCTTTCAGTGTATAGAGACATACTGGCTTGTGGCAGAGGGGATTCGTTTTTTATAAGAAGCCACTTTGAATGTGAGAAGGAAACTCCACAGAGCCTGGCCTTCACCAGGGGGGAGGTCTTCCGAGTTGTAGATACGCTATATGATGGCAAGCTGGGCCACTGGCTGGCTGTGCGGATCGGAAACGAATTGGAAAAAGGCTTAATCCCCAACAAAAGCAG